TTCTTCTTAAAGCAGACTCAGCAGAATGAATGGGGCTTAAATGAGATTTAAGCACCGCCCTACAAAGTGGGCGGTTGTCTCCAAGGGCAGTTTTGTGGGGGTTGAGAAGTTCCCCACTCAAGTAGGAGGTGTGATGGAAAAAGGAATGGTAGAGCTTCTTGGTTGTGGGATGTAATTTAGCCTAAAAAGGGAGGTACAGGATAGCAGCCTCCACATTCAGGGGATTGAGTTAGGGAGTTAAGCATCTGAAGGTGTTTTCTGGACAATTTTAAAAATGCATAAAGTATTGATAATGCTATCCCAGCTTCTCAGAGAAGCCTATATGTTGCCAGGATGCTGATAGTGATGTGCTTGGCTTTAATAATATGCATAATTTGCATGGGTTCTCCTAAACCATAATCCTATCACAGCAATACTATCTGAACTGGAAAGAATTGGTTTAAGGAAGAGATTATGCTGGAATTATGGGGCAGGGGGGAGAATCTAATTAATCTGTCAGTGTTCCCTCAGCAGACAAGTCTTTAATAAAATTGTATTGAGAAATGAAGGGAGGGAGAATATGTTACAGAAGTAAATTAATAATCTTTCCAACAGGCTTAGTTTCCTTAAAGGCAAATAACAACATTTTGCTGGATTTATGGCTCAAAGTGAGCTATGATGATATAATGCAATTCTAAGATAAGACTCCATAAAGAGCCAAGTCAGTGAAGAGTGAATAAGACTGTTCACTTGTGATACAACAATCTAGTTTTCCTGAATTATGTATTTACATGTATGAGAACTCATTTCACATAATTATATTTATTCCATAGGAATATTTGTATATTGTACATTAATGAGTTTTAGAATAACATGAGCTATCTAAAATATTATTTCCCAGTTGTCTGTCTGCAAAATGCATTGTTTTTGAAAAGTCCTCCTGGCTACCAAAGTAAATTATGTATGCTAGACAGCAGATCGCTTCCTTGGGCAGGGCAGAGCAGAGGGACCAAGATCACTGCACACTTCTGGTTCTAGCTCATTTCCATAGTAAGGGAAACCTTTCATGCACAGGAACTGTTTGACTCCCAGCAATCCGGCAGCAGAGGAGTCTTTGCTTCTCGTGTGCAGCAGAGGATTCTGATGAGGATGAGACACAGGCTATTCCCTCAGGGGTAGGACAGTCAGTGCCTTATTAGGGCCCTCCCAGACAGAGGACATAGCCCTAGCCTTGGCCCGCTGGCTCAAAGAATGAGTCTGCAGCAGAATTTGCCTCTTTCCAGCCATACAGAAGTCTCAGGCTACAATATCAGACAAGGGCCTGTTAACAATCTAGCCAGTTCTTCCAGATAGGGTGAATGTGATTGGCCTACAGAAGACTTCAGTTGTCTTTAGCTCCCTGCAAAGTCAATATTCTCCAATGGTTATAGAAGGAGATAGTTCTAGCCAGCAGGAACCACTTGGGAACTATCCATTTACTCCAAGGCTGCAAATCCTATTGTGCAACCTCATCCCAGAGAGGTGGAAAGCTTCCCAGTTGAGTAGATGGACTCCCACCAACAGTACATTGGTCTTATCTGGATTGGGCTTCAGCTTATTGGCCCACATCCAGTCTATTACTGAGCTCAGACACTGGTTTAGCACAGGCATTCCCTCTCCTTGAAATGATGAAAACAAGAGGTAGAGATTAATGCCATCAGAGTACTGATGACACTTTGGCCCAAACCTTCTGATGACCTCCAGCAGCAGTTTCATGCAGATGTTGAAAAGCATGGGGGACAAAACAGCCCTGCAGAACTCCATTGTACAAAGGCTATTGGTTGGCCAGCACCAGCATCTGGAGACAGTCAGCCAGATAGGAGCAGAACCATTGCAAAGCGGTGCCTGCAACTCCCAAACTGGCCAACCTTTCTAGGATACCATGGTTGATGGTATTGAAAGCTACTGAGGAGTCCAGGAGAATCAACAGGGTTACACTCCCACTGTCTCTCTCCCAGCAGAGGTCATCCCACAGGCTAAGCAAGGCAGTTTCTGTTCCAAAACCAGGTCTAAAGCCTGATTTAAATGGATCTAGATAACCAGTTTCCTCCAGGAGAGTCTGGAGCTGCCTGGCCACAACCCACTTGATGACCTTGCTCAAAACGGAGCTGATGGCAATTGCTTGGACATTTTCACATCAGCTGGGTCCAGAGCAAGTTTCTAGGGAACTGGAGAGGCCAGCACAGGAGACTGTCCAGGCTCCAATGCTGTATGTCCCCCTGCCTGAAATCACTGGGATTGGAGCACCCGCACACTCACCCATCACAAGGGGAAACACAATTGTTCCAATAGGTGAATAAAAATACAGTGGTACCTTGGCTCACAAACTTAATCCATTCCAGAACCCTGGTCATGAGCCAAATTGGTCGTGAGCCAAGTCAAATTTCCCCAGAAGGTTCAAGGTAAATAAGGTTAATCTGTTCTGTAACTATTTTTTTAAATCACAACAAGTTCAAGCAAAGTGACAAAGAACAACAAAGATCGCGGCCATCTCCCACCCCGAGCACGAACGTGGCCATCTCCTCCCCACCCCAGCATGACCGCGATCGTGCCTGTCATCCCTACATGAGCGCTACTGCGATCATGGCCATAGACGGGTGCAATTGTGGGCGTGCTCGGGGGGGGGAGATGGGCACGCTGGGTGGGGGAGACGAGTGCGATCGCGGGCGTGCTGGGTGTGGGGGAGACGGGACGGGAACTTACCATTCTCATCTCACATGATCTATCCTCCGATCATACGATACCTGACCCTCTGATCTAACATCCGCCATCCACCTACTACATTCTTTTTTTTTAAGTTTTATTAAAATTTTAAACTAATACTACAAACATCAAATATCACATACATCAGATTTACTGGGTCAACCCCCTACTACATATTTTTTAACATTCTATAGTCAAATTCAAATCAGTTTATAATAACTTGAAAAAATCTCTGAATTTACGCCAAGTCCCGTTTCTCCAGCCAATTATAGAAAAAATCCCAAGTTTGATAGAAGTCACCTACTACATTCTATAAACCATCTACCAATCCAACCTTCACTCTCAAGAACAAAAGAACAGGGGGGAAGGGGAGAAGGGGGGAAAGGAAGGGAGGGAAGAGGGGAAGGAGAAAAAATGAGAAAAACACACACACACACACACACACAAGGTCTGTCTCACCTTGCTTTTAGTTTCCATGGAGTGGGCTGGTACATGTTTAAACCTTCCAAAACTATGTACTTTAATTAGAGGAAGCCATTAATGAACCCTTTCCAAACGTCTAGACTTGTCCAATGACAATGATGAAATCCATGCATATACTTCTTACCCTATTTAATGCTATCACTATGCGATTTACAAAATTGGAAATTAAAATGGATCATAATACATTTCATCAGTTAATATACTTAAACAATTAACACCACAAAACAGTACAATTTACAATTTAACAGTACAAATTGAAATGTTTAAAAACACAATAATTGCTAATCAGAGTAACTCTGCAATGCAATAATTCAGGGAACACCTGGATAGGGAGATGGGTTGTAGCAGGTGCCTAAAAGATGCCACTGATGCAGTGGGCAGATCCAATTTTCTGGTCCTTCTATTCAAAATCCAAGTTTTGGTAAGAAAACAGTGCCCAGTTCAGGACATGCAACAAATTTGCTTTGGGCAACAGCAAAGTATGATATCAAAATGTCAAAGAGAAAGAGTAGGCCAAGCCTTTCAAAAAAAAATAAAAGTGAGCCATGGGAGTTCTACATACATATGTACACATACAGAGATACACACACGTATGCGCCTCTGATTTTAGGGTTGTAATATAACGCAGATACACCAAATTATTAAATGCAAAAAGGTGGAACGGTTCTCCCCTCCACAGGCACAGTACTTTTGCACAAATCATTCTCATAATTGCTACACTGACAACGATTAAGCAAAACAGAGTACCAGGATGATAAGAACTGTGATTCCTTACCTATATTCCTCTATGAGGACTTAACACTTTAAAGGGTTAGCATAGAATAACAAAATTGCTTAGCAGTTAAGAGCTGGGCTTGGGAATAGCAATTGCCTACCTTCCCTATCATTGCATACTATCCTTCCTCCCTGTGCCTTAAGTCTGTCAGTTAATGTCTTGTCATATAAAGACTGATGAAAAGAGCTAGGGTATAAAACGTTGTTAAAGTGAGAAGCATCCATCTCTGGAGAGAAGAGGAACTTGTTAACTTCACAAGTAATCAGAGAAAAGAACATTATATAAGCCCTTTACCACTTCTGGAACAACGAAGAGCTACTTCAAAAACAACCAATTAAATATTTGGGCTTTAGAGTTTTGCTTTGTTTTTACCTATGTGGGCTGTACCATCTCTACATGTGACCAACATCTCTGGCTGGCTGAACCTTCTGACAGCAGTTACCTCTTGAAAGTCCATTAAGCTATATTAAAACAAGAAGATGCACTGGTAGAGAGCTAGTGTTAGCATTTGAATTGAAGGGCAGATCTACAAAAACAGCATATTGACACAGAGGTTGCCTCACGATGTGGCACAAATGTTTTCCATGATGTGTGTTTCTCTGCTCTTTGTTCACCAACACAGAGAGCTGCAGGTGGGAATGGGACAGCCACAACATGATCTCTTCAAGGCCTTGGGTAAACGGCCCCACATTGCCCTTCCCCATATGTTCAAGGCTGTAGCTCCCAGCCTTCCCCCACCCCCATGCTAGCTGGGGATGATGGAAGTGGGAAATCCAAACACCCAGAAGAGCACAAGTTTGGGTGCAGGTGCCCTACTTGTTACACGGAAGAAAAAAGAACATGTCATTTGGAGATGCCATTTGGAGAGCAACTGGCAGCTCCGTGTGGTGCTAACGGATACATCTGCCAAAAAATCAGAGGAGCAAAGGGAGCTCTTAGAAAGCTGTAAATGCAAGCTCATCAACACTGCTTGCTAAGAGAAAAGGGGAGAAATTATCAGAAGAGATTATTATGGATGTACCTTTCACGGTTTCCTTCTGTGATATGATACAGGCGATTAGCACCTCCATCAGCACATGCTCTCAGAACAGCTGGAAGGAGAGGAAGAAGCTGTCAAAAAGCTGCCATCATAACCAAGTAACAAATTTATTTACATGGATATATCTTCTTGCAACACAGCAGTCAGAAACCTCAGAATATTTACTTACTTATCTACAAGATTTAATTACTGCCTTTTGGTAGAGTCCCCAGTATGTCTTACAAAATGAAAATAAATGCACATTAAAAATAACAGAAATACATTTAAAAAAGAAAATACATTGAAATCCATTTTAAAAAGCCGGAGGGAATAAATATGGCTCTACCTGGACCCAAAGAACAGCAGTATTGGTGCCAGATGGGCCTCTCTGGGCAGGAAATTCCATAAACCTGGGACCAGTATGGAGAAGGCACTTTACCTGGTCAGCACCACTAGGGTAATAATCTTCTGAGGAAGGGGTGGTATCACTAAGATCTTTGTGAGGCTGGGGAACAAACTACAAAGTTTAAATGATCTACAAGGGCAGCCTTCCTGCATCTGGTGAGCTGCAAATGTTTAGGACTATAGCTCCCAATATCCTTGAACACTGACCATGCTGGTTTGGGATGGCCATTATTGTCTAAAACACCTCATGGGCAAAATGGATGGGGACGTCTGGCATAAGGTCTCCAAGGAATGCTGTCATACAGCAACCTGAGTTTTCTCTTTGAAATGGAATACCTACACTAGGAAGTCTTCCCTATGGCTTTTTCCTATTCTAAATACTTACCTTCCTGCCTTCATTAATTTGTAAGCCCAATCTCATTTAAGTCCCCTTCAAATGAAGTACATACATTGAGATTTTGGTCACATGTAAATAAGTGAACTAATTAGTTAAAACTTGAGTGATGAAGCCATGGCATTTGAATAAGTTGACATCCCTAATGAAAACCACAAATGCACTACTGCATTCATGTGAGAAGCAGTTATAAAAATGCACATTTAGAAAAAGCATTGAGAATTCCATCATCAACCTACCAGAAAGGGGAAGTTCAGAGTTAAAATGTTCCTGGCAGTTCCCTGACAACTACAGTATCACCAGTAAGGCACTCTGGCACTGAATAAAGTTTCATTTTGATTTCTGACAGATAATGGAAAGTAATGCTTATCCAAAATTCAGACATGCTTCTCCATATGCATCAGATTTCAGGCTTCATCCTCATAGCACAGTACTCCAGTGCAGTCCTACACCTATGCAATACCTGATTCTTCAGAGTATTTTCAGAGGTCATGTGGAATATGTGTTATTTCTTGATAGCACCAGGATAAGGTTGGGTAGCTCATCAAAGCTGCTCATCCAGGGCAGAAGCAATCTGTGGGAACTCAAATTAAGATGTTCACCTTTCATTAACTGGATCTCCAGTGCTCTCCCTCCCACATATTTACTTTTAATACTTCAGTCATTCAGTACTTCAAAAGTTATTTAGAAAATCATGTGGAAGGTGCTGATCTTTTTCCAGTAAATTAACAGTTCACACCAGTATGGACCAGAGGCAAAGGTTCTTCAGCTAAGTGGTAGACAATGAATTGATGGGCAAATAGTCCATAAATTATATTATACATTACAGCTGTGGACCAAACTTGTGCTTGATTGATGATGGCGATGTTGATTTTTACAAAAGATTTTATAAATACTAAGGTTCTTGCATCATTTAGCAGTACTGTTTGGGTAATAATTCTAAACTTCAGATGTGAGTTGGTAAATGAGAAAACAGCAGAATAGTGCTTTTATGTAATGCCTTTCACAACTATAAAGATAAGATTGCATTATTGATAATGAGCTTCCTGCTGGAGCCACCAATGTCTCTGGGATCTCTGCAATAATTCATTCAGAAGCATTACTACTACACCAAACAGTATTGAAATGATACCTATGTTTGCTAGCCAAAAGAGATGCCTAAATAAATACACATACCTGGGATAGATATTGCTTACAAACTCAATAGGCAAGAGTTGTAAACAACTAAACAAACATGCTCCTTCATGGATCACTGCCTTGTCGTGGCGAAGGGGCTTGCATAGCTCAATGAAGCTATGAGCTATGCCATGCGGGGTCACCCAAGACGGACAGGTCATAGCAGAGAGCTCAGACAAAATGTGATCCACTGGAGAAGGAAATGGCAAGCCACTCCGGTATTTTTGCCATGAAAACCCCATGGACAGTACCAAAAGGCAAAAAGATATGATGCTGGAAGATGAGCCCCTCAGGTTGGAAGGTGTCCAATATGCTACTGGGGAAGAGCATAGGGCTAGTACTAGTAGCGCCAGAAAGAATGAAGCGACTGGGTCAAAGCCAAAAGTACACTCAGTTGCTGATGTATCTGGTGGTGAAAGGAGAGTCCAATGCTGCAAAGAGCTATACTTCATAGGAACCTGGAATGTAAGATCCCTGAATCAAGGTAAGCTGCATGTGGTCAAACAAGAGATGACAAGACTGAACATCGACATCTTAGGAATCAGTGAACTAAAATGGACAGGAATGGGTGAATTTAATTCAGATGACCATCAGGTATACTACTGCGGGCAAGAATCCCTCAGGAGTAGCCTTCATAGTCAATAAAAGAGTAGGAAAAGCAGTACTGGGATACAACCTCCAAAATGACAGAATGATCTCAGTTCGACTCCAAAGCAAACCATTCAACATCACAATAGTCCAAGTCTATGCCCCAACCACTGGTGCTGAAGAGGCTGAAGTTGACCAGTTCTATGAAGGCCTACAACACCTTCTAGAATTAACTCCAAAAAATGATGTCCTTATCATGGGGGACTGGAATGCTAAAGTAGGAAGCCAAAAGATAACTGGAATAACAGGCAAGTTTGGCCTTGGAGTACAAAATGAAGCAGGGCACAGGCTGGTAGAATTTTGTCAAGAGAATACGATGGTCATAGCAAACACTCTTTTCCAACAACCCAAGAGATGACTCTACACATGGACATCACCAGACGGTCAACATAGGAATCAGATTGACTATGTGCTCTGCAGCCAAAGAAGGAGAAACACTATACAGTCAGTAAAAACTAGATCAGGAGCTGACTGTGGCTCAGATCATGAGCTTCTGGTTGCAAAATTTAGGCTTAAATTGAAGTACGGAAAAGCACTAGGCCACTCAGGTATGGCCTAAATCATATCCCTGATGAATATACAGTAGAGGTGACAAATAGATTTAAGGAATTAGATCTGATAGACAGAGCGCCTGAAGAACTATGGACGGAGGTTCGCAACATTGTACAAGAGGTAGCAACCAAAGCCATCCCAAAGAAAAAGAAATGCAAGAAAGCAAAATGGCTGTCTGAGGAAGCTTTACTAATAGCTGAGGAAAGACGGGAAGCGAAAGGCAAGGGAGAAAGAGAAAGATACACCCAATTGAATGCAGAATTCCAGAGAATAGCTAGAAGAGATAAGAATGCCTTCTTAATTGAACAGTGCAAAGAAATAGAAGAAAACAATAGAATAGGGAGGACCAGAGATCTCTTCAAGAAAATTGGAGATATGGGGGACACTTCATGAAAAGATGGGCATGATAAAGGACCAAAATGGCAGGGACCTAACAGAGGCAGAAGAGATTAAGAAGAGGTGGCAAGATTGCATAGAAGAACTATACAAGAAAGAGCTTAACGTCCCTGATAATCACGATGGGGTGGTCACTGACCTCGAGCCAGACATCCTGGAATGTGAAGTCAAATGGGCCTTAGGAAGTCTGAGCAACAACAAAGCTAGTGGAGGTGACAGTATTCCAGCTGAGCTATTCAAAATCTTAAAAGATGATGTAGTAAAAGTGCTACACTCAATATGCCAGCAAATTTGGGAAACTCAACAGTGGCCGCAGGATTGGAAAAGGTCAGTTTACATTCCGATCCCAAAGAAGGGCAATGCCAAGGAATGTTCAAACTACCACACCATTGCACTCATTTCACGTGCTAGCAAAGTGATGCTCAAAATACTACAAGCTAGGCTCCAGCAGTATGTGGATAGAGAACTACCAGAAGTACAGGCAGGATTTCGAAGAGGGAGAGGAACTAGAGATCAAATTGCCAACATACGCTGGATCATGGAGAAAGCTAGGGAGTTCCAGAAAAACATCTACTTCTGCTTCATTGACTATGCTAAAGCCTTTGATTGTGTGGATCACAACAAATTGTGGCAAGTTCTTAAAGAGATGGGAGTACCAGACCATCTTATTTGTCTCTTGAGAAACCTATATGCGGGTCAAGAAGCAACAGTGAGAACTGGACATGGAACCACTGATTGGTTCAAAATTGAGAAAGGAGTTCGGCAAGGCTGTATACTGTCACCCTGCCTATTTAACTTATATGAAGAGCACATCATGAGAAAGGCGGGGCTGGATGAATCACCAGTTGGAATTAAGATTGCTGGGAGAAATATCAACAACCTCAGATATGCAGATGATACCACTCTAATGGCAGAAAGTGAAGAGGAACTAAAGAGCCTCTTGATGCGGGTAAAGGAGGAGAGTGCAAAAGTTGGCCTTAAACTCAACATTAAGAAAACTAAGATCATGGCATCTGGTCCTCTCACTTCCTGGCAAATATATGGGGAAGAAATGGAGGTATTGATAGATTTTATTTTCCTGAGCTCCAGGATCACCACAGATGGGGACTGCAACCAAGAAATTAAAAGACGCTTGCTCCTTGGGAGGAAAGCTATGGCAAATCTAGACAGCATACTAAAAAGCAGAGACATCACCCTGCTGACAAAACTGCGTATAGTCAAGGCTATGGTTTTCCCAGTTGCAATGTATGACTGTGAAAGCTGGACCATAAGGAAGGCTGAGCGCCAAAGGATTGAGACCTTTGAATTGTGGTGCTGGAGGAGACTCCAAACCGGTCAGTCCTAGAGGAGATCAACCCTGACTGCTCTTTAGAAGGCCAGATCCTGAAGATGAAACTCACATACTTTGGCCACCTAATGAGAAGGAAGGACTCCCTGGAGAAGAGCCTAATGGTGGGAACAATAGATGGCAAAAGAAGAAGGGAACAGCAGAGGATGAGGTG